ATAGAAAATAGCTCAGCATAATATGTGCAAAACTATTCACAAACTTTCTACTGATCAACTTCTACTACCTTTACATAAGCTAAAAATATGTGTGGTGGTGTGGCACTTCAGCACCTATCTGGTCATGCTCTAGCTGTAAAACTAACAATAAAAATAGAAGGATGAAAAATACAGGACATGAAAAAAAAAGTAAAGCAGACATTTATAGGAGGCTACAAGGCTATTTCCATAGAATTTTAAAGCAGAAACATCTTCACACTTTTTGAAAAGGCGGCAACATCTCTGAAGTGAGAAAGCATTCAAGTGCTGAGGAACCGAGAGTCTTTGGATCCAACATATGGCCTCCATCCTGTGTTTGAATGTGAGCAGGAGGATTGGATCCACGTGGATTTTCAGTAATATCAACAAACTCCGTGCAGGCATGAAGGTTTGCCCACACACATGAAGCTGTGGAGATGGGACAAAGCAGGAAAGAATACTATAATGGATTGGATGCCAAAAGCTCTTAGTTACCAGATGCACCAGGCTGCATGTTCTATCGTCCTATGTGCCTAGTGACTACTTTCTCCTGTATATAAATATATATATACACATACATATGTGCTACAAATAATTCCTTCCCCTAGGATATTATTTTTCTCAATTAAAAGCGCTAGAAGAAGCTATTTCTGTGACACTATTTGAGAATAAATACCTTAGCTGGTACATAACAATGAACCATTCACTGTTAAGTTACTAATGGCCATTAGAGCCTTGACTTCTGCAAGATTACTTTAGCTTGAATTATCTCAGGTTATACGATGCTAAGAGAAGAAGAGTTATTACAGACCACCATTCCACAGATAATTCAAGCCCTGGCATAATTCATATCTCCTATAGGACAACTCTGCGTTATGCCAGGTAATAAGAGCTCAGAGACTGCAGAAGCAGCAAGACAGAAAATGAAGTGCAACTGTGCTCCAAATACACCCCTAGCCCTCAATGCCAGGAGATGCTACATCAGATGCTCGATACAGAGTGGAATTCCTTGATAGACAGGATTTCTTTTATACCATCTTAGCTGTTCATGATACATGATTTATCTGTGTGCTGCCAAACAGGCCAAAGAAGTTACATCATAAAAGGATGTGCCCCTATGTGACTTGAGGACGGCAAAGGATGAAAATACTTCCAAATAAAGACAGAGCTGCAGGGATTGAATGAATTTAAGCCATATTATTTCCCACAAGCCAAAACAGTAAGATGTATTGTATCAATTCATAGGAAGCCACAAAGATGTCGAACGTGCAGGTTTTGCAAATCATTTTGTTGATGGATTAACATAAAATGTACACAGAAACCTTAATCAATGTCCATGACAATAGCAATTTCTTATTTAAATGAAGTATCCTGCAAGGGTTTGAAAACAGCATCCTGGTTTTTTTCTTTAAATTGACTGTCAATATCTAGAATCACAAAAAATACTGCTCGTGTTTATACAAATGACTATGCAAACAAAGGTGGCAGCCATTATGGGATCAACAACATCCCACCTGAGAGCACTGATGCTAATTAATCTTTGGTGGTGTTATTACCCAGGAAGGAAATTTTGGACATCATACCAACAACTATTATCCTCTTTCGATATGAACGGTATAATCCCTGTGCCATGATTATCTGCACCTTCAAAGAACAACAACCAGAGAGGTCTTATTTCAGCATTCTATCTACTGGACACCTTCACTTCCACTACCCTGTATTCCTTCTATGCTGTAGTATCATTAAAGGAACAAAACCTCAAAAGTCATAATACAAATCATGACTATTTTTCCTCAAGAGACTACAGCTCAAAGGAATAAACATGCATCATTCCTTTGAAGGAAAGAGAAGGCTTTCATTTCTTTCTAAAGGACAGAATTGTTTTTGTGGTCCTTCAATCTGTTCTTATGTCTCATTTGCACCTGCACAAAGAAACTAGATTCTCCTTTCAAAAAAGCAATTTCAAGTAGCAAAAGCCTTAATTCAGTATGCCAAGAAAACAAAAAAAATACTCAGTTTATATAAATTATTTCCCAAACACAAGGGCTAGTAATTGAAAAAATACGTATTCCTAAATCTCAGTATAATTTTTTCCAAACCAAACAATCTATCATACACAGAGGTAACTGACTGATAAAAAAATGTTAGGTATAAAATAGTTTTTAAAAATATATGCCTCTTTTTAGTAGATGAAATTACTTTCCATATACTAAGTCTCACAAAAACTTAGGCATTTGAAACACACCAAAAAGCCAATTGTGTAACTTCATTATTTATTTTAAATAAGAGACGTAAGTGCTACATTCAGCATAATTTATATTTAAACATCATGTAAATACATAGCAAAAGATAATGTGACATAACATTTAACCTATGTTTAATAAATAAGTTTACTAATAACGACAAACTAACTTAACAGTCTATTCAGTTCAGTGACTGACATCATCCCTCTGAACAGCAGCCCTTAATAGGCCCGAATCCAAATAACCACTGGAATTAGTAGGAGGGCCATCGCAGGTTTAAATAGACACTGAATCAAGCATTTGCTAATGTTCAGGAAAGATCCATGCACAGACCAGTCTTGTATCTTCATTGCTGAAACAACTGAGTTAATAAGAAGGAAGAAAAAAAAGAAAAAACCGGCACTACCACACTCCTTAATTCACATTTCTGTAATGTGCAGCAGCGTGCTCAGCTAGTAGGTTTTTCAAGTAGCACGCTGAATGAATGACCAGTGCTGAAGTGCTAAAAATACAGAGTTTCTGGAATCCAGTGTTGAGGCAAACCTTAACAGGCTTCATTACACCTTCTCTTACTTATACTGTTATCCAGACAGCCCAGCTAGATAATATGCTACAAAATATAGTGTAAAAAAAGGATGACAGAGGAAAGATACAAAGCAGTAGTGCCAGTCAGATATCTACAGATCCTAAGCTTTTTACCAAGGTGACAAATACTAAGGATTCCTGACAAAAAAAATAAATCCCTAGGAAGGGAAAAAAAAAAAAAGGCTAAAGCACGCACAAATCCTGTATGTGGTTAAAATTAATTATCTGAAACCACAGCTTTAACCATGCAGCAAAAGCATCCCACCATTCACTTATTCCCCCCCCCCCCCCCCCCCCCCCCCCCAAAAAAAAAGAGCAAAAAAAGAGAAAAAGAAAACAGAGATGGCTATCAGCCTGTTCTTAGTGCTAGAGGGAAACGGAGAGCGACGAGAGCCCCTGCAGGACTGATCCCACGATCGGTTTCAGAAGCCTGGGTTCCCATGGCTGAAGATGAGGAAAGGAGGGGAGGGGGGGGATAAGGAAACACTGGCAGCCAAATGTGTGGCAGCAGGACCTGCACAGAATGGGACAGCTTCTTTCTGTCTCAGGATATTACTGTCAGAACGGCCAAGGAAGTGACGAGCTTCATTTTTCCATTCTCACTGTGGTACTTAAAGAAGTGCCTAATTTGAAGAGAACTGGACAGGTGGCATATCACGCTGAGCTAAATAGATAAGTGTGAGATTTAAATGACAAGAGGCAGCAGGTTTTGCTGTTCTAAAGACTGAGAGAGTGAATTATTCTTAGGGCACCAATGGGCACAAACGGAAGGTCAGCCCGAGGTGCTGCCAGCGACACTCAGGTGCCCGGTAGCAGATGGTGCCCGTCTGTAGGGACAGCAGAAGGGCTGACGTACCCCGTGGGCCGAAAGCAACACTAGGCTCAGGAATAAAAAAGTTTCGGGGCTGGTGCAGGCAATACAAATTAACACGGATGCTGCCACCCCAAATGTTAGTGGAGGTGTCACCAGGCTGCAAGGGTGGATCAGCCAGGAAGGGCTGCAGAAAGCGCAGTGGGGGCAGGCACTGCCAGGGTGCGATGCTGCAGGTGCTGCTGGCTGGGGGCTGCAGCCGGGAGACGGCCCAGGCCAATCTCTGCACAGTCCCAAGGGAGCTCTGGAGCTCCCTCTCCCTAAGGACCTCCAGGCTGGACACCGAGATGTCACCAGGACCCCCTACCTCCCGCCGGCAGTGCCTTGCCTGCGTTGCGTTCCCATTTCTGGACTTACGCAATGACTCGAGGGCAGAGGCAGCCTGCAGAGAAGCGGAACAGCAGGAGACACAGGCAGCCTGGACCCCCACGGGGCTCCCTGAAGTGTCCCAAACTAGAAAACTGGCCACCTCCCCACTCCTGCCTCCTGCGACATAATTATTCCAGCATGACTGACATGACAAATTAACAAGGCAGCCAGGGCTTTTGCAGTAGAAGGGAGTGTTTTCCCCAAGAATAAATTGTTCCAATCCTTTACGCTAGACACCCGGCCGTGCCTGTTCATTAATTGGACAAGCTCTGGTGACAACTGAAATTACCCGGCTTCTACATACTGGAGGGGAGAAAGATCTTTGCAAGCTTAAAATGAGAAGCCTAAAGCCGGAATCCCAGCCACTAAGGAGTTCTTCGAATGAGGCTATTTTTTTTTAACATTCATTTTCAGAGCACGGCCACAGTAAAGATCCTTTTAAAAGCAGAGGCACGTTCTTCAGTGTTATTCCTCCCTTTGCAGACCCTGAACTGTGGCACCAGAACACGACAGCTCCGTCCATGAACCGCAAACCTTTTAAAATCTGCAGATCAGCCGAGTTTAAGAACTTCAGGAGCTACGAAATTCTGGGATTACTGCAATGTTGCGATTAAATGTCACAATCAGGTACATCAGGAATTATAAGCATCTGCTTGATCAGTACACCGTGGTTACTTATTGCATCCAATGTATCACAATTACTACACAAATACTGGAATTAAGGGGGGGGGGGGGGAAATTGGTGTTGATTTCTGTCACGACCCACTCACAATACATCATTCATGTATTTTTTCAATTACTATTTTGATTTGGGTTTAACTGTACCTCTCGCCTTTTATCAAGGGGAAGCCTGGGAACCCTGTATGGTATTTCTCCCCCCGCTCCCCCCCGCCCTTTCTGTGCTAGCTGCGTACCTGAAATGCAGACGATGAAATTCGCTTGCAGAAGAAAAAGCACCTCCCAAACAATTTCCATCCTCCGATTCTCATGCCAAGTGCATCCCTCGGCGAAAAAAAATAACAAAGATCAATATCGCAGTTTGAACGATCCCAGCAAATTTCCTTTCGGACTTGCAGACTGTATTCCCCAGATGTGCTGACAACACATGTCCGAGCTCTCTCCCTGCACGGCTCAAGCGAGATCCCTTCCCTTCCTTCGCCCTCCAAAAAAGACCACGAAGCCAACTGCCAGCACCGGGCTCTTCCTCCACGAGTGAGAAAAAAATCCACCAGATTTCCCAACAAGACATAGACAACAAACCCCAACTGATCCGGTCCGGAGAGTCTCTATTCCAGGGCGGCCAGGTGCAAGTCACCCCCAAACTCTGCACGTCTCAGCGGGGCAGTGCCAGCATGCCGGGGGGAGGGAGGCGGC